GGACAGGAAGAGGTCTGGCTGTACGTCTGACACAGACAATAAAACTGCAGAAGCCAGAATTCGAAGCTTCAGTGAGTGGCAAGAGGGACATTTCTGCATTGGACAAGAAACACCATGAAAAAAAATAAAAGGTGGAACGAGAGGTTAAAAAAGAGAGAAATAAGAAGGAACAAAGACCCTTACAATTGACAAAGTGCACTTCTCTGGGCTCCAGGATCTAGTTTTAGAAAGAAAAAACCAAAGTCAAGTCCTATGGTGTCGCACGGGGTCAGAGGATTCACCCTGTGACATCCGGCCCTTCAGGCCCGGGGCGGTTCCCTCCGCAGGTGCGTGCTGGACGTGGCTCTTGGTCATTTCAAATCCAACCAAAGATTCCAGGAATTATCGTTGTGTTATGTCTGCTTTCGAGGTTGAATTTGGTCACTAAGACTGAAGCATCCCTCACGAGGGTTTCACAGCTGTAAGCGACGTCCATCAGTCACATGTCCAGGTGGCCACCCTGGACCCTGAAGGTGAATCTCCCGCATGCCTCGCAGGAGGGCTCGATGGCCACACGTGTCGGGGGCCCCAAACTAGTCATGGATGGTGCTGTTTGATGAGGACAGGCACGGATTCGAGGGGCGCCAGTGACACCCTCATGCTTGGTCCCCGTGGCCAGCTGGGGGGTGGCCACCTCCCTTCGTCCGAGGCTCACTCTTGTACACAGGGATGGGAAGCCCGTTGTCCGTGGCCCCAGCCCTCAGCTCCAACCTAACAATCCCGAGGTGCTTGAGATTCATGAGGAGGCTGAAGCCAGCGGTTCGGTGAGACCCTGGCTCCCGACATTCCCAGGAAGATTGTCTAGTGAATTAGTTCCGGTACGTCCCCTGTCACCATGCCACGCCAGTCTCCGGTTGCCACGCACAAGCCATGTCCTGACCGTGGTCTGACCTCCGGCATCCGATGCTCTGCGGAGATGAAAACACTCTCATCTGGGGAGGGGATGGGGGGTCTTCATCTGGACCCCAACATGCTGCCCCCAAAACCTCACGCACTCTGGGGACAGTAATCAGCAGTGAGTCTGGGGGTGCCGGCTGTCTTCAGACACAGTAGTGGTTACTCCATGGGACTTCGGCCTTCGTCACTAAGTGTTCAGGTGACAGAGCCCCAATAAAGCCTTACTTGGAAACAGAGCACTTTCCAGGCTTGAATAATTCACAGGCCCAGGTGGAGGCCAGTGAATGACCCGGGAATGACCGACGACCCTTGGCTTTGGTAGCTGCTCCCGGCCCATTCCAAGTTCTCTAGGAAGCCCCTGCCCTTCCCAGGTGTCAGTTTATGGCTCCAAAGAGGGGTACCGCCCCCTAAATAACACGGTCTCGTGGCTGGAAGGAACACACACCAGCAAACCCCACCACTGCCAGCTGGCGCCACAGCCGCCGCCACAGGCCTGCCACTGTCCTCAGCTCTTCCCTGGCCCACAGGACGCGGATGAGAGACGGGCCCCAGCCGTCGGTCCTTGCCTCCGTTGCTGATTTCAAAAGTAAGCCAGTGTCGGGTTGTGACAATACGTGCACAGAGGTCACCCGATCCAATGAAAGGAAACTTCTAGGAACACAAAGCCTTGTTTAATTTTTAAAAACACTAAAAAGATTCATTCTTTAAACAAACCCTCTTTCTCCTAGTCTCGTGTGAGAGAAGGAGATGGTAAAGACAGCAGAAACGATCAGTGACGCTCTGCCTACAGCGTTCGCCGTTAGGGCTGCAACGCTGCCTTTTGCGCATCCTTTTGTCATCATTAGACCAAGTGACGCCCTGGAGCCTTGACGTCAGCTTTGCAAGGACTGGCCTGCCCCGCTCTTGGAGAAACGACACCGCTGTGGGGAGGATGAAGCTGCGGCCACGGCGAGCTGAGCTGTGGCTTTCGATGGCTTCGGTGCCTCTTGGTTCTGGGGACACGGCCTCGGGGTCAGAGCGCCCCATCCTGCATTCACTTCTCTCCTGCCGGCCACTAAGGTCACTCACCCCGAAAGAGGCCACGTGGTTCTTCGTCCTCCTGGCAGGCCGCAGAGCCACCCGCTGCCCACCCATAGGACTGACCTTCCCACCCAGTTTCCTGACAACCTGTGGAGCTGAAGGGAACGGGGGAAGCCACCTCGGGCCCTGCCTGTGTCTCCTGACAGCTTTTCTAGACTATGAATCACACACAGCTCTCTATGTCTGATGGCCATTTTAGGATTTTTAAATTGTTTTAACATAAAAATATTTTTTTTCCAAAAATACTCCAGGCTCTTTCTCTTATAAGTCTTTTTTTTTTCTCCCGTAAAAAGTCCCCCTGCCCTGCCTTCCTAACATAAAGCACTTATTATGCGCCCAAAGTGCCTTTGAGACCTAAGATCTGAAGCAAGTATGAGGACGGGACAGAGAAGGGTGAGCGAGGGGTAGGGGTGGGGAGGGCGGGACGGAGGAGGGGTCAGAGGGAGGGAGGAAGCTGTCCACTGGAGACTTCTGTCACCGTGTCCATGTGGCTGCGTCGACCGAGGGGTCCTGCAAAGCCAGACCACAGCAGACAAGGGGAAAAGGCAGAGCGGGCAGGGAACAACAGAGGGAAGACGCAACAAACCCAAAACAGTTTCCATCCCAGACCGAAGGCCCCCAGACGACAGAATTCCAGCTGATAGAAAAACCACTGAACAAAGAAGATTCTAGAAAATAGAAAGTGTTGGGATTACAAAGCTGCACATCGAATCGGTACAAACTGGTCTTTGAACATCCTTTTCCAGAGCAGCTGTAGTGTCCCAATTGTCAGGGGAAAGAAAACACCAGCGCGAGGAGAGGACGCTTCCCCTCCTGGTTTATCACAGCATTTTGCTTCTTTGCTTTGTTTTCTGTTTTTGCTTTTTTGGCACAGCTTCCTTTTTTCTTGTTTTCCGTTCAGCCATCAGAGCCTCTTCCGGATGGAAACCACACCGGGCACGTCTAGCTTCCTGTTTCCTGGGCTGAAGGTCCTGGCTGGAGGCCACTCATCCCCCTCTGATGTGACTGTGTGTATGCTTTTGTTTTTGCTTGTTTGTTTTGGAACTTCTCGATGAAGATTACGAAAACATATAGACTCCTGTGGCCAGGGACGAGTTGATTTCCAAGTACACTCTAACGCAAGTCAAGTTCGTACAGTTTGGGGCTGACAGAATGGTGTCTGGACAGGGCCACGACCCCACACGTTCTCTGCTGGTCCACTAGAACTCGTGAGTTTTTCTATAATATTTTGTGTTTACTTCCGGAGATCTAAAACACACACCTGGAAGGAAAGACAGAGCGCCTGTTACCTGGAGACACAACACAAATGTGCCTGTAGAGCAGGGGTCGGTAGACGGTGGCCAACCACCGATTTTTGTGAATAAAGTTTTATTGGAACACAGTCATGAAGGTCAGAGAAGCTCCAAGAACAGGCTAGTGTCTGTGCACCTGACCAACCAAACTCAAGCAAACAGCACTGGGGGAAACACCAGGGCAAGGACTAAGGTCGATGTGGCAGAGTGACAGTGCCAGCAGCAGGAGCCACAGCCAGATGCCTACATGGCAAGGTAGGTGGCAGCTTAGGCCTAAGTGCAAGGCCTCCGAGAACATTTGGGGACCCTGGCCTTCGAGGTCAATGCTGTGCTGTGCGTGGGAGGAGGTTGTGCTGCATCTCTAGGCTCCACCCAGGAGATGCCAGGAGCCCCCCAACCCCCAAGCAGTGACAGCCCAACAGGCCTCCAGGTATTGCCTAATATCCTCAGAGGGGCAGAGCACCCCAATTTCATCCAGGAAATGTTAACCAGAAGGACACTCTGCAAGCGAGGGCCACTCTCAGATGTGGGGCCACCCCAAGAGGTCCCTGCGCACGAGCTGAGCCCTGCCGAGTGCCACCCCAGCTTGCCCCGCCCCTGCCAACTCGAGCGCTGCTTACGGAGCCGTCAGAGGCACTGGCGCCCACTTTGTCCCCACGAGCGTTCCAGCACACCTCAAAGATGCCGCCGGTGCCTCGGTAGCTATGGACAAGACTGCCACTCTGCAGAGAAAGCACAGTGACCGGAGCTTACCACACGGGGTGCAGCCCGGCCCCCCACCCCAGGTGCTGCACGGGTCTCAGGGACAGCGGGGAGCCACTCAGAAAGGGGAAAAGAAGGTGGTGGCTCCTCCAAGGAGGGACGTCTCCAAGATGTCTTGCTTGGAGCTGTGAGCCCTGAGGACAGCAGAAGCAGACACCTTTCCCGGGGAGGGAGTGGCCCTGGGTGTCTGTCCCAGGCAAGAGCGCAGCCAGGAGGAGCCAGACAGACAGCCCAGGCCTGGGCTCTCCTACGTCCTGACCGTGGTCTGACCTCCGGGAGCCGATGCTCTGCGGAGATGAAAACACTCTCATCTGGGGAGGGGGGATGGTCTTCATCTGGACCCCAACATGCTGACCCCAAACCTCACACACTCTGGGGACAGGAATCAGTGGTGAGTCTGGGGGTGCCGGCTTTCTTCAGACACAGGAGTGGTTACTCCAAAGTGTTCAGGGGACAGAGCCCCAATAAAGCCTTACTTGGAAACAGTACTTTCCGGGCTTGAATAATTCACAGGCCCAGGTGGAGGCCAGTGAATGACCCGGGAATGACCAACGACCCCTGGCTTTAGTAGCTGATCCTGGCCCATTCCAAGTTCTCTAGGAAGACCCTGCCCTTCCCAGATGTCAGTTTTCAGCTCCAAAGAGGGGCACCACCCCCTAAATAACACGGTCTCCTGGCAGGAAGGAACACACACCAGCGAACCCCACCACCGCCAGCAGCCGCCACAGCCGCCACAGGCCCACCACTGTCCTCAGCTCTTCCCTGGGCCACAGAACGCCGATGAGAGACGGGCCCCAGCCGTCGGTCCTTGCCCCCGTTGCTGATTTCAAAAGTAAGTCAGTGTCGGGTTGTGACAATACGTGCACAGAGGTCACCCGATCCAATGAAAGGAAACTTTTCTAGGAATTCAAAGTGGTGTTTGGTCAGCGTGTGGATACACACCCCTCGCTCCACATCCCACAGCCGGACCGTGGAGTCAAACGAAGCACTGCGGAGACGGAGGGGACACGTTATCACCTGAGCACGCTGGCGTTCAGCACACGTCCCTCCAACATGGGCCACACCTCACAGGAGCGTCTCTCTCTCCCCGCTTCTAGGTCCAGACCGGTGAGCTTTTCCTCCTAAAACGCAACTCAGATGCAGTGAAAACAAAGCCATCGTCACAAAACAACTTTTGGTGCTGTTATTGTGAAAGCAAATCGACACCCATGTTCTTATGTTTCTGCATTTGTTTAAAGATATAAATGGTAAATACTTTTGTGGAATATTGATCAAGTTTTAAAGATGCTCTTACATTGAAAAACTTCTATTGTTACCAACGAATGCGGATAGCCAGGTTTGGAAAAACAGCGAATAGAGTGAATAAGTCTTTATAAAATTTTTAATCCCACAGGAATTAAAACACAGTCACGTGTACACATTCGACCACATTGCTGAGAGCTGCAAATATCAGTTATTTTCCAATTTAAAATAAAGTACAAATCACAAACCAGCTATCTGGCTTTCTTTTTCTCTACAGGGCTGGTACCAGCCTGTCCTTTTCGTGTGTGCTGACTAAAGGGTCATTTATGTTCCTAACGGGTAACACGTGACACAAAAGAACCTCCCAAGTCACCAGTACATGATTTTAGCACGCAGTGCTGTATCGTAGTAATTCAAGTGCCTTTTAGGACAATTACGTGAAGTAAGAGAATTACGGCCTTTGTGTTGTTCTGTTCAACCACTCGGCTGATACAGGGATTCTTTCCAGTCTTTTCTAAGAAACAAGCTCGGCTGGGCTGAGCACTTCAACAAGCTGCTCGCTGCTGGCGCGGCCGGCCGGCTCCCGCTGCCCCAGAGGCAGGTGGCAGGCGTTCTCCCCTGACAGGAGGTGTGTGCCCGCCTGTCACTACCCTCTCTCTGCAGCTACACAGAATAACCCACTGCTGCCTCCTGGCACCCAAACATTCCCCTTAACTCTCCTCTCTTGTAGGCTAATGAGACACCCACAGTTCATGGGTCCAAATCCTGGTTTCCAGACCCCTAAGTAGCTCGGCATTCGGTCTCAGAATCTCTTTAGCTCGTTCTTCTAAAAGTTCTTCCTGAAATAACGAGAGTGGAACATTCTACTCTGAATGGGGTCTGGCGAGCATCAGGGCACAATAATGCTCTTGAACGAAGCCTAAAGCCATGTGGTTTTGGGGAGGCCACCTTTGTCACTTATAACCCCTCTTCCCAATTCTGGTGGTGACTGGCTGGCCACTCCACTCCCTCCCAATCTGGTGTCTTAGGGGACTCGCTATATAAAATGTCAGATCAAGTCTTGCTGTGGCTGGGGGATCCTTTATCCCTGCTTGAAATTCCTGCCCCTGGAAGCCCTGAGTTGAACCAATAAACCAAGCCCAAGGTCCGAGGTGAACTCTTTCCGTTTCCTTTCTCTGCTGTCAGGAAAACCTTCAGCAAAGCCAAGTGCCTGAAGCCCTCTCAACACGTGCCTTCTCCCAGCCTCACTTAACAGTTCTATCTCGACCCCTTCAAAAGGGAGCTATGACGTTCAATGCTCCAGCAAAACGTCCTGTTCTCTCTACATACGAGGAAGTTCTGCTGCGGTGCTGCCGACTCAGTTACAGCGGGCCAGGCTGCGTTCAGGAGCCGAGGCTGGGCTGTGCGGGGGTCCTGTCCTTACCTCGCCAGCATGATGTTGGAGCTGGGGTTGCTGGTGGCCGGCCCGGTGGGACTCCACTTGATGGTGTATATCTCTTTGCTGTGAGCTTGCAGGTCGTGCACACACGTGTCCTGCTTCATGCTCCAGATCTAGAGAACACAGTGGTAACAACATGAGCAAGCCATGTCCCTCCAGCGAGCCGAGAGGCTGCCGGTTGTGAACCGTACACAAGCCATTGGGGTGTCCCGCTGGAAAAACTGCAGGTCATTGCCCAGGAAGGGCTGGGACTCCTAGCAGGACCCTTGACTGGTACATCAGAGTTCACTGGGCGAGAGCTAATCTGACAGTCAGTAATGGGACAAATTACAGAGAAAGGAAGAGGACTCAATACAGATAACCCCCAAAGGAACAGGGAATGTGAGACTTGCGTTGAGTACTGGGGGATGTCTAGGGTTAAACAGCTCTCCCTACAGATGCCAACTTTACCTTTAATGTCATGTCATCAGAGCAGGATGCTAGCAACATTCCAGAAGGATCCCATTTGATAGCATTGACCTCATTCTGAAAGAGAGAGCGGGTTTGGAAAAGAAATCAAGGCCTGAGATCAGACCCAGTGGCTGTCCACCAGGGGACAGTAGTGCTCTGCCATCATGGTGGCCATCCACCAGGGGGCAGTAGCACTCTGTCATCCTGGTGTCCACCAGGGGGCAATAGTGCTCTATCATCTGGCTGACCATCCATCGAGGGCAATAATGCTCTGTAATCTCAGTGGCTGTCCTCAAGGGGGCAGTAGCACTCTCTCTTCCTGCCTACCGTCCCCCAGGGGGCACTAGCACTCTGTCATCCTGCCGTCCACCAGGGGGCAATAGTGCTCTATCATCGGGCCGACCATCCATCGAGGGCAATAGTGCTCTGTAATCCCAGCAGTTGTCCACAAGTGGGCAGTAGTACTTTCTCATCCTGCCTACCTTCCAGCAGGGGGCAGTAGCACTCTGTCATCCTGCCATCCACCAGGGGGCAATAGTGCTCTATCATTGGGCCAAACATCCACCGGCAGAAATAGTGCTCTGTAATGCCAGTGGCTGTCCTCAAGGGGGCTGTAGCACTCTCTCATCCTGCCTACCATCCACCAGGGCACAGAAGCCCTCTGTCATCTGGCCATCCACCGGGGGAGAATAGTGGTCTGTCATCCCAGTGGCTGTCCTAAAGGGGGCAGTAGCACTCTCTCATCCTGCCTACCATCCACCAAGGGGCAGTAGTGCTCTGTCATCCGGCCATCCACCAGGGGGCAATAGTGGTCTGTAATCCCAGTGGCTGTCCACAGGGGGCAGTAGCACTTTCTCTTCCTGCCTACCATCCACCAGGGGGCAATACTGCTCTGTAATCCCAGCCGCTGTCCACAAGGGGACAGTAGCACTCTCTCTTCCTGCCTACTGCCCACCAGGGGGCAGTAGCGCTCTGTCATCCCAGTGGCTGTCCACAAGTGGGCAGTAGCACTGTCATCCAGCCTACCGTCCACCAGGGGGCAGTAGTACTCTGTCATCTGGCTGGCCATCCTCCAGAGGGCAGCAGCATTGTCATCTTGCCTACTGTCCACCAGGGGGCAATAGCGCTCTGTCATCCTGCCTACTGTCCACCAGGGGGCAGTAGCACTCTGTCATCCTGCCTACCGTCCACCAGGGGGCAGCAGCATTCTGTCATTCTGCCGACTGGCCACCTGGGACTTTCTCCGAAACCAAAGCACAGAGCCCGGGAGGCCACGTGTTTTCCTTTTTCTCACTTTGCCTTTTTCATTTATATAAAAGCACAGCCATATACCACACGTGACCAGCCACCCTCATCAATATTTCTTTTTTTTTTTTTGTCTTTTTGTCTTTTTCCGTGTCCAGCAACGGATCGCAACCCTCAGTGTTGCCCCCGTACCGGACCGGGGACCGGCAACGGGATTGCAACCCTCGGTGTTGCCCCCGCGCCTCGCTCAGCCAGTGAGCGGGAACCGGTCTGTATGTGGGATCCGAACCCTCGGGCGGGAGCGCCGCCGCACTTCCCAAGCGGCGCACTTATCCAGTGCGCCACCGGGCCGGCCCCTCATCAATATTTCTTGAAGTGAAAACATTCCCTACTAGGAAGGAAGCAAATGAAGAATTCACATACAATATAGGCA